ATTTGTTGGGGGAAGGAGGGGTTCCTCCCCCAACGCTCGCTCAAACATGATGGAATGTATCAATGCTCTTTGCAAAATGCCCCCCCTTCGCAGTTGGGGCATTTTGCAAAGAGCATTGAAGCATTTCTTATGTTTGAGCGAGGGTTGGGGGAGGAACCCTTCCTTCCCCCAACATATGTAGAAACTTTTTTAGTAGATCTGAAGTGACTTATATAAGATTAGTTGGATACCACTATTCGGTAAGAATATTGTATGTATATTCAATTATTGATAGAGGCATGTATGCAGCTAGCAAGATGGTGAAAAGGAACCATATTGATGATGCTGAAACCTCTAGACGGGTGAATCAAGAATAGGAAACTCTTGCTAGAGATGCTGCAGAAGAGGTTAAGGCTGAGTCAGAGGAGGAAGAGACTGATGCTATGGCACTCCAACATACAGCTCAAGAAGTTGAGATCAAGAATTTGCAAAGAGAAATTCGTAAGTTGAAGAAGGAGAACAAAAAAAGGAAGAAAAAAGTTGAGGCAGCTAAACTAGCTAAACCTATGCAACCAAACTCCTCTTCAAGTTCTAAGGATGATGAAGTTTTGCAACCACCTCTGGTTGCATAAGTTTCAAAGTTCAAGCCTCTAAAACCACCCAATTTCATAGGTATTGTGGGATTATCAAGTTTTGGAAAATTGGGTCTATGATATGGAAAATTATTTCATAGCAGCAGACATAAATAATCATACGAAAGTTTTATGTGAGCAATCCTTTCTCACCAATCATTCCAAAACATGGTGGTGCCAGATGTGTGTTGAAAAAGAACAAACTAGATGGACTAAGATGCAGTCTCGTATCCATAAGGAATACTTGTCAGATTATCTTAGTTTGAGACTTTGCACAAAGTTGCAATGGTTAAAGAAGTGAGAGAACTTTATGCATTATGTTAATGCGTTTGCTCAGAAGCATATTATGATTGTAAATACGAGTGAAGAAGATGCTAGAAGTTATTTCCTAGAAAGTTTAAGTTCACTTTCTCATAATGAAATTTTGAAGTTCAAACCAAAGATATACCTAAAGTGTAAGGAGGTAGTATAGCAAGTTGCCTTTAATCACTTACTTATGGAACAGTATCAGCAGCCATATGCTAGTACCTTGAACAAGAATAAGAACTTTACAAATAAACAAGGTAATTGAAAATAAAGGTGGAAGAAAAGTTCCACCTTGGAGGCTCACAAGGAACAATTAATAAAAGTGGTGGTTGGCAACCACCAGCAACTTCTTTTAGTCCTAGGCCCTCTATTCCTTTTCTTAGTGGGTACAAACAGTAGCAAGTTATGAAACCTGTTCCTAGCGGAATAGATAGTGTGGGTTATTGCTTCCATTGTGGAGAGATAGGAGATAGGTCTTTGGAATGTCCCAACAAGCATAAAACAAAGTCTCGTGTTACTATATGAGGGAAGACGGTGGCGGTGAAGCTAAAGAGGTTGATGAGTTGGTCAATGTAAACTATGAGGAAGAAGAGGTGAGTTACTTTCATTACTTTCTTCAAGCTTTTCTTGTAGTCAATGCAAACACTAATCTGTTGATGTATCTCATAGGCTTTGTCTGTAGACATTGAATCCGAATGATGATTGACATAGCAACTATGCACAACGTGATATCTAAAGACTTAGTAGAGTTGTGAGGATTGAAAGTTAAGCAAATGCTGCCCATACACTTCCGGTTTGCAAAAGTTAGGCAAGTACCTAGAAGATTTGTGAGTGATGTTCCAATAAAAATATTCAAGTGAAAAGAAAGAGTGGATTTGGTAGTGTTAAAGATATGAGATTTTCAAATGGTGTTTAGTATGGATTTTTTCAACAAATATATCAAAAGGATTTATGGTGTTGAACAAAGTCACATCATATTGAGGTCAGAAGGACGTCTTAATTGCAAAAGTGCTCCTCAAGAATTGAGATGCTAAACTTTTGACTATAAGAGTCGCTCAAAAAGCAGTTAAAAAGGGATGTCAAACTTTTTGGGTTCAAGTGATGGAAACTGAGGGTGATGGTGACTCAATTCAAATCGATAATAGGGTTGATCCTATACCAAAGGAAATATTGAAGTTGTTAGCAAGGAATTAGGATATCTTTTTGAAGGATTTGCCACAAGGGCTACCTCCTAGCCATGAGGTTGATCATTAGATTGAGATTATTTTGGGTTCTAAACCACGTACAAAGGCTTCATATTGTCTGAATGTCAAGGAGATGGCTGAACTCAAGAAGCAACTCATAGAGCTTCTTGATAAAAGTCATATCCGACCAAACAAATCACTTTATAAAGCGTCAATCCTTTTTATTATAAAAAAGGATGGTACCATGAGGATATGTATTGATTATCAAACACTTAACAAGATCATAGTCAAAAATAGTTATCCTTTGTCTTGCATTGATGATTTATTTAACCAACTTTTAAAAGCTAAGTATTTTAGACTTGATTTGCAGTCTGGATATCATCAAATACGGGTGGTAGATCAGGATGTGGAGAAAATAGCCTTTAAGACTCGGTATGAATCCTATAAGTTCCTTGTCATACCGTTTGGGTTATGTAATGCTCCAACAATGCTCAGCACAATGATGGATAGAATATTTAGAGATTATTTGGACACATTTGTTATCCTATATATTGATAATGTTTTAGTCTTTAGTGAAATGTTAGAGGATCATTTGAAACATTTGGAGCTGGTGTTTCAAAAGTTGCATGAACACAAACTATATGCTAAAGAAAGTAAATGCAATTATGGACAATTGCACATGAACTTTCTTAGACATATAGTTGGTGGTGGCATAATTGAGGTGGATACAAAAAAGGTGGAAGTAGTGAAGTCGTGGGAAGCCTCGACCACTATATCAAATATTCGTTCCTTTCTCAATTTGGTGGGATAATATCACAAGTTTGTTTGCAATTTTGCAAGAATTACTCTTCTGCTGACTAAGTTAATAAAGAGTAATATACTATTTCATTAAACACTAGCTTTTCAACATGCTTTTATATGGTTGAAGGAGATATTGATTACAGTTCCTGTTCTTAGGATCCTAAATCACGATAAACCCTTTGAAGTGCATTGTGATGCATTTAGCTATGCTACAGGTGCCATGTTATAGCAAAATTATGACAATGTGGTTGGTGTTATACTAAGGCAACATGGTTGTCCTATTGCATTGTATTCTAAGAAATTGAATGAAGCCTAACGAAAATGGCTAACACACGAGAAAGAAATGTTTGCTGTAGTGTTAGCATTGGAACATTAAAAACACTATTTGGGTTGATATACTTAGGTTTATATAAATAGTAACACACTGAGCTACTTTGCTACGTAGCTAAAGCTTATGCCTAAGCAAGCTCATTGGCAAGAGAGGCTCGCTATATTCAATATTGAAATCATTTATAAACTTGGTAAAGACAATATTATTCTGGATGGGTTGAGTGTCATGCTCAATTCCAAGCAATGTTGGCAACTAGTTCATACTAGTTAAAGGATGTTTGGGCTTCATATCAAAGTGATCCATTGGCAAAGGGAATCTTGCACCATGCAGAGCTGTCAAAGTAGAACCATGAAGGAGCAAAAGTTGTTAATCGCACCAATGCGAAGCTTAACTTCTCAATTTGAGATGGGGCTTATTTTTTATAAGCAAGAAAGATTGTACCTTCCTTTTAAAGATTTGCAATAGTTGTTTCTGTAGGAATATCATGATGTCCCGATAATAGGATATGGTGGAAAATAAAAGACTCTTGCTTCATTGCCTTCTACCCATTTGATTGATTATTTTGCATCTTTTGCTTAGTTGCCTCATAGTTGTCAAGTACAAAAAGGGATTTTTTTGGTTTGGTATGGAAGGTGATGTAGTGGATTATGTCCATTCTTGCTTTATATACCAGAAAAGTAAGCATAAAACTAAGAAGTAGGCTGGGAAATTGTAGTGCATTCCAACATCGACATGGCCATTTCAAAGTATGACACTTGACTTTGTCACTTGCTTGCTGAAGTCCAAAAGTTATGGCACTTTGATGGTGGTTGTGGATCGGTTGTCAAAGATTGCACACTTCATTCCAACTGCGGAAATAGTGAATACGAAGCAAGTAGCAAAGCTCTTTTTTCATGAAGTAATATGGGTTTATGGTCTTTCAAAAGAGATGAGCTCGAATAGAGATTCGAGATTTATGGGGAAATTTTAGGGCACACTGTTTCAGTTGTTCAGTACCAAGTTGAAGTTTAGTATAGCTTATCATTCTCAAATTGATGGACAGATCGAATGTGTAAATTCTCAAGTTGAGGATTTTCTATAGTATTATATTATGGTGGACTAATGTGACTAGGTTGAGCATTTGGACACAACAGAAATCTGTTATAACACATTTTTATAGCACTATTGGCTATTCTTTATGGGAGATGCTGCAAAGGAATGCTCGTGAGGTTCTTCAATAGATTATTGTACCAAGACCAATGTCCAAAGTGTTGGTCCCAACCATTGAGACTTATGTGAGTAGCTATGCCAAGGTTGGTCTAGAGCTACTGAGGCAATGCACAAAGCTCAGGATAGATATCAACATGATAAGGATCAACATCGTCGGGATGTATCCTATCAAGTGGGAGATCAGGTATAGATATCTCCCCAGAACTTGAATGTTAAGTGATCTTTGTCTCGGAAGTTGTTACCAAAATTGAAACAAATTGGTAATGTATCCTATCAGTTGGATCTTTTTGCGAAAATGTCCAATATTCATAATGTATTTCATACCAATTTACATTATGGATGTTACATGTCAAAGGGAGATTCATCCACCACCAGAAGTTGAACTTGAATATGAAGTTGAAAGCATTTTATCATGTCTTTAGAAACGTGGTGGTTGTACCAAAGTATATTT